CCTTCAACACCTGCAAGAGCAACGTCACATTCGCGACGGCGTCGGAGACGGAAGCCGGAGAAGACAAGTCGTGCGTCAGAGCGCGACGCTCCAGCGCTTGGATTTGGAGCTTGAGCTCGGAGATCTCGCGGAGGAGGAGTTCGCGCTCGCGCGCCCACCGCTGCTCCTCGCGGAGCCACCGCTGCTCCTCGCGGATCCAGCGCTGCTCCTCGCGAAGCCAGCGGTGCTCCTCGCGGTCGGAGAGGGAGCAGCGGGAGACGAGGGAGTTGAATTTATAGGAGAGTGAGTAGGGTTTGTGGAGAGGGAGAGTGAGGGTTTTGGTGAGGGAGAGAGTGGGAGTGGCGGTTACGGGGAGAAGAGTTGCCATTGTGTTCGTTGGATGATGGAGGCCATGGATGATGGAGTTATGATATCGCAAGTCGCGAGATATTTGTTCTTCTAAGTAATTTGTCTTATCTTCTAACAGAGGCTCAAAGCCAGAAATTTGTAAAGGTAAACTAAATTTAGTCCCTCCTGGCGGGAAACTAATACTAACAAGGAAAATGAAATGAAACCGATAATTTCTTTCTAGTGTCTGGAGTGTGGCAATGCTAGTAACTACTTTCTAATCATCCAACCTTGCAAGTGTCTCTTCATTTTCTTGTTTTTTATTTATTATTTTTTTTTTGATCTCGTGTTTTTTATTTATTATAATTGTGAATATATATATATATAAACGACATTGTCCATTGTAATTAATATTAATATCTTTTATACATTTAAACTATAATAATAAAAAGATGGACAATAAAAAATAGAGATGATTTACACTTCCACGCACGATTATTGTTCAATATGACTAGTTCAATTTATTTAATCCGATTCACCTTAATCTATTTTTTAAGTTGGTTGATCTAACCTAGTCCACTTTTTTAAATGTTTAAATTTTTTTAGTTCGACTCTGTCCATTGCGAATTGGTTAACTTCACGGGTCATTCCATTGACCCACTTAATTTAAATAACAAAATTTGATTTAAAATAAATTTTAATTTAAAATAACATGTAATCTAAAATAAAAAACTGTTAAACTAAATGTCATAAATATAATATTAAATTTAATTAAAAAATATACGACTTTAGATAATCAAAACAATAAAACATTAAGAAAATTATGTCATCTAATTGGTTGTCTGTCAATATTAAACTACATTGGAGATTTGAGCAAATAAATCTATAATAATATTATTTTGTTTAACATCAATATTATCTTCATCTAAAAAACAAATATATATATATATATATATATATATATAATTCCTTTGTAATGAATCGAGTTTTATAAAAATAAGATGATACATTTATTCGTGATTTCATATTTAAAGTGTTGACTGAGATTAATCTCGATGTTTAATTAAAGAACATAAACACTAAATTACTTAAACTGTTGACTTTCGGTTTATTATAACAAAGTTAAAGCCTAAATTTTTAGAAAGGACGGAGTGTAATTAAGTTAAGTAGGCAATCTAACCCATCATGTGTTGAACTTAAGTGGATCATGTCTAAGGTGAATAAGATTAACATTTATGAGCAATTATAATTTTTTTTAACCTAGCCTAACCTATTTTTAAGGTCAACAAAATTGGCCTACAAATCGAAACTTATTTTGATAGCTTTATTAACCAGCACTACTGGTTATCTTCCAATAATTTTCTTGTTTTTTTCCTATGATCCTTTCATTGTATTTACTACTCGATTAATTATAGGAATATTTTTTAGTCTAACTTTGTAGGCTAGTATAAACAAAAAAGAAAGGTCTAAAATTTACACAATTAATCATAACATTACTTTATACAAATATTAAATGTACCTTTCATTTAAGGATGATAAGTAAATTCATACTTGTAAATAATACTCAAACCTGTTCTGACATTGACGAATAATATCTAGTTTGACTGAATACGGATAATACTCAATTTATTAAATTGGGTACAGGAATGAGTATACACATATCAACCTAATACTTGCTTTAATTTTCTAGAAATTCAATTTATTTTTTAAAAAAATTACTTGACATTTATATGTTTTTTATTCTACTTTAAAATTATGTTAAACGAAATTTAATTAACATAATTTTGTAATTGTTTATCTATATTTAAATTATTTTTTTAATATTTTTTTATAAAAATATTTAATTAATTTTTGAACGGAGACAATACAAGTATACTTAATACTCAATGGGTGAGAATGGGAACACAGATCCCATACTCATTAAGTATGGGGACAGGGTGTAGAATACAAAAACAAGTATAAGGATGAAGATATTAAAACTTATACTCGCACCACCTCGTTGTCATCCTTACTTCCATTGGTTAAAGTATCTTACTTCTTCTTTTTGGTTAAAGTTTTTTCTCAAAAGTGATTTTTCTTTTAACTTCTCCTCGTCCGAAATTATTCTTTACTTCACTTTTGTTAGATGATGTATTTCATTTACTATCTTTCTTCATTTTTTTTATTATTTTGACATAGTCTCGTTTAATAGTCAGCCTAAGTAAAAATCTAATAAAAAAACATTTTATTGTTAATAGTATTCTAATTATTAAAAAAACATTTATTTTTCAATCATTTGTTTTATATATATCAAGTATAAAATGGTAGAGAAATGGTAACAATACACTATGTGACACTTTTTTAAACACAAATTTTAATTGGTTGAAATTTATTAAAAAACATGAATTTTGGCTAGTCTCACATCTTGTTTTAGTTTGAAAGTGTGTCCTTTAAAGTGGTGTATGTATAAAAAATAGTTATTGTCCTAATTTATAGTTATCACTTTCATATGCATCTATCAAAAAGAAGTTGACATTTTTTTTAAGTAATCATGTAAATACCTTCATCCTTTCAAAATTGAAAATTCAACCACTTTTGAGAATTCTACAATTAAGAACTCAAGAAACAAAAATTAGAAAATTATACAAATTAACAAAAATAAATCAAGCAAATCACCACGTTTTTGAAAAAAAGAGAGAAGAAAATCAATGAAGATTCGCCACATGATTTAAGAAAACCTTGATAAGAATTAAAGCTTAAACCAAGAATCCCAAAAATCTTCTCAAAGTTATCAAACGTTTAAAAAATAATTTATAAAGTCTTAAATGAGATTATTTATTAACTAACTTAAGATGACATGAACGACAAGGAACTCACACTATTTAATTTATCATTATTTTCCTTTGGTTTGGAATGGTGGCCTTGAAAGTACAACTTCTTTTGGCAGAAGCCTTCTCAAATCCCTTTAGGAATCATTGCCTTATAGTAGGCAACACAACAAATTTGGGTCTTTAGGGCTTTGTTATAGAGGCCAAAATGGCCTTTTTTACTTTGCAAAGGTTTGCAGTTCAGTGTGAGGAGAATTAAGGAATTTTTATGCAATCGCATAGCGATAATCTATTTGATGTTAGACCCTTAGTCCCTCTATAGGCACTAACCCTGAGTCATTCCATCACTTTAAGGAAGTTTTGTCCTTGGCTCCGAGATTGGTTTGTCCCTTGGTGTGTGGTCCTCACCCGAGACTCACTTCCTCCCTTTGTCTGAATCGTTCGCTTGCATCAAGGAAGCTCATTCCTTGGTCCGTGTGGGACAACTCACACTTTATCGACGTAATCAATAATTGGATTTTGACTTTTATGAAAGTAGAAAATTTAAATTGAATTGGAAATAGATATCCACCTATTTTCTTGCTTGTAAAACTTTTAAGAGATATTATTTTCATATTTGATAAAAAAACACTATTTGATAATAAACCAATCATTCGACCAAAGTTCGTTCAACTAATTCAAAACCCTAATAAAAGAAGAGAATAATTTGCTTAATTAAAAGGTTCGTTCAACTAAAATTTAGCCATAAACTTTTTATTTATCAATACTATCCATAATTTCCTAATACAAATTTTTTCTCTCTCATTTTTGCATGCATTGTAGTTGATTTAATCCTCCTTTTAAGGTCTTTTAAGAACTTATGAGACACCCTGACTTGATTTTCAAATTTTTTTCTTAGTTATCCTTCCCCATCCTCTACCACTATATTATTGGAGTAAAATATTTACTATTTTTATTGATATGCAATCTTCATAAAAAGAAAAAAAAAACTAACTAAACATTTTTATTAAAGACTAACCTCTCAACGGCAATATGTCCAATCTTTGTTTAGTGTTATATACATGTATATTCTAAATAAGCAAACATGGCATTTGTTATCCAGATCGTGGAAGTCTTGAAGGTTAAAAAAAAAAAAAAAAAGGGTGGAGGAGGCAAAACATTCGGGTGCAAGCGTAAAAGCACTTCTTCCCACTCACACTCTCGCTCTCGCTCTCGCTCTCGCTCTCGCCATTCATCATTAACCATACAATTCCTCTAATCACACAATGGATCTCCTTCACCAATACGCCGACGACGATCCCGACTCCCCCTCCGAAAACCCTAGCTCCCCGCCGCGCCTCCTCCCGGGGCGCTCCGCCGCCCCCAAGGTCGACGACACCATGCTCGCCCTCACCGTCACCTCCTCCTCGGCCCTCTCCAGGCCCATCGACCCCACCCAGCACCTCGTGGGCTTCAACCCCTCCTACGACCAGCTCTGGGCCCCCATCCAGGGCCCGGCCCACCCCTACGCCAAGGACGGCATCGCCCAGGGCATGCGCAACCACAAGCTCGGCTTCGTCGAGGACGCCGCCATCGAGCCCTTCCTCTTCGACGAGCAGTACAACACCTTCCACAAGTTCGGCTACGCCGCCGACCCCTCCGCCAACACCTACGTCGGCGACCTCGACGCCCTCCGCCACAACAACGCCGTCTCCGTCTACAACATCCCCCGCCACGAGCAGAAGAAGCGCCGCATCGACAAGAAAGCGTCCGAGGAAGACGCCGACAACGACAACGACAACGGCAACGACGACGACGACGATGTCGCCGGAGAGATCGAAAACCCGGCCTCGGAAGCGTGGCTGTTGAAGAACAAGAAGAGCCCCTGGGCGGGGAAGAAGGAAGGGTTGCAGGGTGAGTTGACGGAGGAGCAGAAGAAATACGCGGAGGAGTACGCCAAGAAGAAAGGGGAAGAGAAAAGCGGTTTCGGAGGGGAGAAAGTTGAGGTTGTTAAGGATAAGAGCACTTTTCATGGGAAGGAAGAGAGGGATTACCAGGGTAGGTCTTGGATTGCACCTCCCAAGGATGCAAAAGCTAGCAATGACCATTGTTACATTCCCAAGAGATTGGTTCATACTTGGAGTGGACACACCAAAGGGGTTTCTGCTATTAGGTTTTTCCCCAAGTATGGCCATTTGATTCTCTCTGCCAGCATGGATACCAAGGTTAAGATTTGGGATGTTTTCAATTCTGGCAAGTGTATGAGGACTTACATGGGGCACTCCAAGGCTGTTAGGGATATTTGTTTCAGCAATGATGGGACCAAGTTTCTGAGTGCTGGCTATGACAAGAATATCAAGTATTGGGACACCGAGACGGGGCAGGTGATATCGACTTTCGCCACCGGGAAAATCCCTTATGTGGTGAAGCTTAATCCTGATGAGGATAAGCAGAATGTTTTGTTGGCTGGAATGAGTGATAAGAAGATTGTTCAATGGGATATGAATACTGGGCAGATAACTCAGGAGTATGATCAGCATTTGGGGGCTGTGAATACCATCACCTTTGTTGATAACAATAGGAGATTTGTTACATCCAGTGATGATAAGTCACTCAGGGTGTGGGAATTTGGTATTCCTGTGGTGATAAAGTATATTAGTGAGCCCCACATGCACTCAATGCCTTCCATTTCGCTTCACCCCAATGCCAATTGGCTCGCCGCGCAGAGCTTGGATAACCAGATACTTATTTACAGCACCAGGGAGAAGTTCCAACTTAACAAGAAGAAGAGGTTTGCTGGACATATTGTGGCTGGATATGCGTGTCAGGTCAATTTTTCTCCTGATGGACGTTTTGTCATGTCGGGAGATGGTGAGGGGAAGTGCTGGTTCTGGGACTGGAAGAGTTGTAAGGTCTTCAGAACTCTCAAGTGTCACGAAGGTGTTTGCATTGGTAGCGAGTGGCATCCCCTGGAACAGAGCAAGGTAGCAACTTGTGGCTGGGATGGGATGATAAAGTACTGGTAAGTAAACTCTTGTGATATGCAGCATTAATTACAGAATCTTATATGGTGTTTGTTCAAACATGCTTTGATATCGTAGTTTCTGTACCTATGCTGGTTTCTCTGTTAGTAACATCAAAGAGTTCAACGTTTATTTTTGCAAGCTAATATTCGGTGTGTGTTTGTATTGGCGAAATTTTTAGGGTGATTGGCTGGCAACACTTTTGATTGTAAGCTTTTTTAAAATAAAGAATAACATAATCCAAACACACATAAACCACACGGACTTTATCTCTTGTTTATTTTCCTTTTGACACTTCCCTTTGCTTTATTACATAGCATTTGATTATAAAGTGATATTAGTTATTATCGCATCATTGGTACAATAGTCTATAAAAAGAGACAGGGCAAGGTCTATGAGTAGAGATTTATTAGCTCTAACTAAATGAGGTCGCTGAGGAACATTTTTCTCTGTTATTTTTCTTATGCTAGAAAAAAAAGGGTGGGGGAGTCTTGGATGGAGTTGATACCTCTCCATATCTAAAACTGCTTGTCCGTAACCATGTTCCTGTCCTGCTCCTGTTGTGTCGTTTTTGAATTTCCATGGATGTAGGATACTCAGATGACAGGACAGGAATGCCATTAAGAGTGATAGGCTGGAAACATAAGCAGCTGTTCAGAACTTTTACAGCCTTCTCTTTCAAAATTAGTTATCACTTTCATATGCATCTATCAAATAGAAGTTGACATTTTTTTTAGAGCGATAGGCTGGAAACATAAGCAGCTGTTCAGAACTTTTACAGCCTTCTCTTTCAAAGCTAAGCTTCTGCATGTATTTATAAAATTTGCGAACAACCTTTCTGAGCTTCTGCTTGCCTTTTGAATTGTAGCTCGATAGAAGTCTTTATACTGGTCATTTATGTTTTTTTTGGTGAATACATTTGGTCACCTGATTCCTTAGATGAACTTCTTCATATTGAAAACCTCTTGCCTTTAGGAACACAATCCCAGAGACTCAACCCTTTTACATTTACCTAGGTGCTCTGTCTCTTATTTTCCCTTTCTTCTTCCTTTCTTTTGTGCTGTCCCTTTTCATTGAATGTGAATGTCGGACAATCTTGTAGATAGCTTGTTTAAAGGCTTGAAATTTGCATCATATTCAAGGAAAAAATGCTCTGGTTTAGTGGTTTTGCTGAATCTCTTGATCAGGAATGAGAAGAATGTTATGACTATTAAACTCTTATGATGTGAATGTATTTTGGTTCCTAATTCCTGAACTCCTTCAACTTTGACATCTTTATGGTATTTGATGTTTTAATACATTTGGATTTTGAATGATTGGTGGAATTAATATGATGAGAATACTGTTTTATAAGTTTTTGCTTTCTCATACACTGTTTATTGTTTTTATTTGTTATTATATTAAATTTAATATAATGTGTGTTGCACTTCCATGTTGCAATTTGCATCACTACAGTATGTAACCTTGCTCGGTCATGTTGCACCAGTGCATTGTGTGTCATAAATAAAAATAACTATATATTTCTTAGTTATTTGATGTTTGTTTACTATCTTGTGATCAACCTCTATTCATTACATAATCATCGGCTGTTCAAACTCCTTGTATCTTAGTAGAACCTGTTCATTTGTAAGATGATCACAGCTTTAAGGCTGCTAATCAAAATCTTTGGGCACTTTGATATTAATTTTACAAAGTTACAGGTTCAACTAATGCTGTGAAATTATCTTTTTTATGAACATATTCTGGTAATAGAAATTTAGCATCCATTGACATCAGAATCAGTGTCTGTCTGTCTTCATTATGTTTCAGTTGTGTCTGTTTTGCTAAAAGCCTAAAATGAATAGTTCATAGTATAGTTGTAACTGCAAAAGTGTTGTCATATTTTAAAACTCTTAGATTGTGGAGTTTGTACAACTTGATGTGGGTCATTTAAAGCCTTGTTCTCACCTATATGGTGTTGTTGATCTTTTAAATATACAGCTTGTCTTGAATCTGCAGATTGTAAATTTATTGTATGTTTCATGGTTTTCAGAAGATAATATGATGGTGAAAAAGTGTCTTTTGATTTTTGGTTTTACGAAATTGGATTTAAATATGTTATGTATGGCTAGGAACAAGTATTTTGGTTTGTCTAGCACTCCATGATACACCTTATGATACAATTAATATGCTATATCAGAAAATAGGATTTGATTTGATATTTTGATCTCTTTAAATAGGTCTTCCTTGCTATGAAATCAATAGAATTTAGTCATACAGGGTGTTTGTCCAACAGCTTCCGTACCTTTATCCTCAGATTGCAATGTTGATGCATCTATATTCTACTCGTTTATTATGCATACCATTTTGGCAGTAGTTGCACAAGCATTGATTTTAACCACATCAACAAGTATCTCTGTATTCGTAGTCGTATATATGTTTTTAATACCTTTTGCTTTCATTCTTTATAAATCTAAGTTGACTGATTTAACTCTAGTTTCCGAATATAGATATGTTTATTGAGGTCAATATCTGTTGTTTTGCAGGGACTAGTTTCTCCTGATCAATGTGATGCCTGTTGCTGGAATCAGTTGACAGAAGCAGGACAGAGAAAGGCACTACTTGGCAACAAAAGCAGAAGAAACATATTGGATTCACATGTTGATATGGTCTTCCTTGGTTAAAATTTCAATGCTTTAATTGAATATTCTGACGAGATTTCTCTTCACTTGATCATGGTATTGCCACCAAGAGTTACGTGCTAATTGCAATGTTGTAGTATCAGAACAGAGAAAAATTTTGCCATGTTTTTTAGAGACTTCTGTATAATAGTCATTTTAAGTTAGATACTATTAATCCGTGTGAAAATCCTCCTCATGATGCAGTTTAATTTAGTTACGTTTTCTGCTAGGGGTTGTGCATACATTGTTATTGGTGGGGATTTTCATCACTACCATGATATAGAAAGTTTGGGTTCAGGATAGTGGACCCTGCGAGATATTGGTGATAAAAGTTGTTGAATTTGCATATCGTGACCATTCAGTGTCATGATCATGGTTGTCAAACTTGCGAGTCAACTCGTAAACTCGTACGAGTCTACGAGTCTAGGGTAGCAAAACGAGTTAACTCGCGCATAGACTCGTTTTTTGGTAGACTCGGGTAGACTCGGTCTGACTCAGGTAGACTCGGTCAGAATCGCGAGTCTGAGACCGAGTCCACGAGTCTGGTTAGTTTTTTTTTTTTTCCACCCTTAAATGGCCCAAAACGACGTCGTTTTGCCTAGGGTTAGTAAGTGAGAAAGCATTTTTCCCTTCGCGCGACATGCCTCCACCATTCTCACGTTTCTGATCTGGTTTTTCTTCCTCCGCAACGTTCGAACTCTGATCTCCGCCGCTACGAACGCTCATCTCCGCCGCTACGAACGCCGCCGCAATCAAACGCCCCTGCATACGAACGCCGCCGCAATCAAACGCCCCCTGCATACGAACGCCGCCGCTATCAAACGCCCCTTCATACGAACGCGCGTCCTCTTGCTGGGAAGGACGCGAGTCTATTTTCTCTCCCTCCGCCGCATCTCTGCCGCATACGACCGCGTTTGTCTTTGTGAGTCACTCTAACATTTTTTGATTTTTTGGTCTGTTAGTGTTATTCACAATTCACATACCATTTTCAGAGCAAGATGTCTGAAACCGGTGGTGGCTCAAAGTCTTCACATACCATTGATTTTTTGGTTGTTTATGTATGGTTAAGATTTGTATTATGACATTTTATTGTTGTTATTTGACTTATTTCAGACTTAGAATGTTGAAATAGTGATATCATATTGTGTGTGTTCATGTTTTTTAATATATTTTAATATTAGGTAGACTCTTACGAGTTTACGAGAGCTCCACGAGTTTGTGTAGACTCTCGAGTTTGACAACCTTGGTCATGATGCTTAGCTGGTTGCTGCTATGGTGGCCTAGTATGACGATTTCAAGTGCGAGGATTTCAATTATTGCTTATTGTTTAGTTCGTACAATTATTAAGGTTATATATTTAAAATTTTGTAATTTCAGTTAATTGGTCTAGGAAGCAATACCTATATGTTTAACAAATTTTTTTTCCCTTTTTCATCGAGTATAAATTACAAACAAACTTCAATTGAAACAAAAGTCGTAAGAGTATTATTTTTATTTGACATTTGATTTGAAAAGTGAAGTTTAATTCAACATTTTAATTATAATCTAAACACTCACTAAAGGTGGTTTTGAAAGAGCTTAATTGTAATTTCATATTTTTGTCATAGTTTATGTTATAAATGTTTAAGAGTTAATAAAGATAGGTATAGGGCTAGTTCCTTTAAAATTGAAAACTAATTGTTAAAAAATTGTTTTTGAAAAATACTTAAGAAGCAGATCATAAAGATTTTTGGAAATTATTTATTTATTGAAAATATTTTGTCAGAAAAAGAAAGCATTTTAAACAAACGAGCTCATATTTGCAAGGTTAAATGTGTTTTCTATCATTGAAAAATTTGTTGAATTTGCTGTTTGTCTTTGAACTTTTTTATTAAGTTGTTTAAGTTATCAAAATTTTAAAAACTAGAGATGCACGGTATATTTGAGTAAGTAGTGTAACATGAATACATGATATCTAATTTTACAATGATAGTAGTCATATAATTTAAAATTATATTTATATTATATCTTTTATCATATATAATATTTTAAAACTCACGATCAAAAATTAAATTATACTTATAAAATGTGACTTTTGCTCGTAAAACATGACTTTTGTTTATTAAACATATTGTATGACTCATTAAAGTTATAATGAAATTATGATGTTTTTTTTAATTAATCACATTTTAGTAAATAACTTATTTGTAAAATGAAGTATATCTATTCAATAATAGTATTATAATTCTTTTTTTTTTATTATTTAAAACGACCGTAATGTATATCTAGTTTGAATACTTAATAGAAGGACACTACAATATCTAGGAAACAAATAATTAACTAATCGAAATTTATAATATTAAATATTTAAATTAATTTGATAATATTATATACATTTATAAAAAATAAATAAATAAATATTAGATACAAAGCAGAGAAATATAAATAACATACAATATAAAATAACTTGCATACATGAATAATGTTTAGAATTGAAAATTTCGGAATTTGTCATAAATCACGAAACAATGCGTCATAATTGAGAGCAAAAATATAAGGAAAAAAAATATAAACTATCCTGCTGTTACACATGAAAATGAAAGAAATCAATAAAAATGATTTAGAAACATTTGGTCTCCTTTTGTTTATTTTGTTAAAAGTTCAAGTGTTTTTTTTTATTAACTCTTCTTCTTTTGTCTACAATCGAGGCTTACTCGAACTTCTTAAATGAAATGTAGGATATAGATTTTAAATTTTAAGTTTGAATGTAAAACTATTTATTCCAATTTGATTATTATCCAACATGGGTTTATGTCGCAAAAAATGGTCAAATGCTTAAAAACTATGCTTTTATTGAGTTTGGACTTTATTTTAAAGGCTCAAATTGAAATTATTTAACTATTAGTATAATTATAATAATTAATTGTGTAATACTAGAATAATCTCAAAAAAATATTTTTAAGATTTTTTTTTCAAAGAAATTGTTTGTTTATAGACGACTTTTCATTGGGAAATATTAGCTATTTACCTTCTACTTGCTTGTTGATAATTAACAATAAGTTTTAGCCATCAATAATCAAAAAAACATATCAACAACGTGCCCATTGTAAAGTATAGACAATTTTTTTCTTCAAAAACAAGTTACTTTCACCTCTGCTTTTGATTAATATGCATTTGTCTTAATAAGTGTTCTTGAATTTGAGTTCTAAGTATATGACTGTCTTAAATATTTTTAAAAAAATGTTATTTATCTGAATCTAAAAAAATCATTTCTTCTAAAAGAGATATATAGTCTAAAAAAACTATTTGTCGGTAAGTTAGAACAAAAGTTGGTTTTAGCAATAAAGTAACCTATTCTTTTTATAGTGATAACTGATATGTTAAATAAATTAAAAAGTAACCACTTTAATTAAGCAGAGTTCTCCCATATAAGCTCTAAAGTATTCTGCAAAAAACAAATATAAGCTCTAAAGTCAACGACATTTAACTATTTGATTAAATTAATTTCTTCCAAAGAGGCTATAAATACAACATTTCTCTCTTCACTGCTATAAGCCACAAAGTTTTTTGATCCACTAAAAGAAACAAAACTCTCACCTTCAAGCCATGACCATCTTTAAAGCTCCGCTGGTTTCAATTCTCATTTTTCTAGCAATCGTGAATCTCGTGAAATCAAATACAATTGTAAACATTTCAATTGCCATGAATTTTATTGTTACAATTTGTTTTTTGTTACGTAGAAATCCCAATTATTTGTTTAAATTATGTTGACCTCAAACTTTTCTTTTCCCTGATCAACTTCATGTGTTTTTTTAAAGAGTAATGATTTAACTTCCGAAATTTTTTATCCGAAATTTCGTCCGAATAATTAAAATAATAATATTTTTTAATAAATTTATTATAAAATAATTATTTTAAGAGTATCTGCGGTGAAAGTTGTTTATAAACAATTTTTTATGCCACATCATGTCACATCAGTTTTTTTTTATTATTTATGAGTTGTTTAAATTTTAGTAAAATTGCTTGTAGAAGCTTCAGTACTTAAAAAAAATGAAAAAAAGTTGATGTAACATGATGTGGCACAGGAAGTTACTTATAAACAACCCTTACTGCAGATGCTCTTAAATTTATTAAAAAAATATTATTATTTTAATTTTTGGACAAAATTTCGGACAAAATTTCGGTGACTGAATCAATACTCTTCTTTAAATATCAGGAAACTAGGACTGTGGTGAAGGAAGCAAGTTCCACCTATTCCCCACTACTGATCGGTACAAATCCTCATTGTAAACAGTCAAGTTAATCATTGATATTATATGAAATTTTTTCATAAATGAATTTATTTTTTAATAAAGGAAATTTTAAAATCTGTTTTCATTAATCACAGTTTATAAAAGAATTATTTACTTTAGTTATTTGAGAAAATCTTTTATATACCATCATTCAATCAACTATGTACCTAGGAATTTAGTTCTGTTGATTGAACATGATGTAATACAGTAAATCTCTTCGCACCAAATTTAATTCCCACATTTTTTATAAAAAAAATTCGTTGTATAATTATAAAATATGGCTTACTTTTACTAACTCGATTTATTATAAGAGCAAAGTGGTATTTACAAGTGTTGAACAACTTATGCTAATAATTTTCATTTTTTTTAAGGAAATTGAACCATTTTTATAAAATATGGCTCCTCTTTTTTGTTTTTTTTATTTTTGATTTATTTTTTAATTTTTGTATAACGAGACACGAAATGTTTCATTTTTATCAGTTAATATTAAAGTAGAATTTAACTCTTGATTCTTGAAAGATTTTTTTTTTAAATAAATTTTTTTGGTTTAGCGGTAGGGGTTGTTCCACGCTTAAGCAAAGTCAGAAGTTCAAATCTTGTTTTGTGTATGCAGCCGCGCTTGGGGCCAGCTATCCTACCCTTTGAGGTGCCTCCAACTTAATCTATCAGCGATAGATACTCCAGAGTATCTGCGGTGAAAGTTGTTTATAAACAATTTTTTATGCCACATCATGTCACATCAGTTTTTTTTTATTATTTATGAGTTGTTTAAATTTTAGTAAAATTGCTTGTAGAAGCTTCAGTACTTAAAAAAAATGAAAAAAAGTTGATGTAACATGATGTGGCACAGGAAGTTACTTATAAACAACCCTTACTGCAGATGCTCTTAAATTTATTAAAAAAATATTATTATTTTAATTTTTGGACAAAATTTCGGACAAAATTTCGGTGACTGAATCAATACTCTTCTTTAAATATCAGGAAACTAGGACTGTGGTGAAGGAAGCAAGTTCCACCTATTCCCCACTACTGATCGGTACAAATCC